TCAGAGAGTGAAGGCAGAGCATCAGAAGCCAGCTGGATTGCTACAGCCATTGCCGATACCCGAATGGAGGTGGGATAAGCTAGGCATAGATTTATCACGGGATTGCCCAGGACTCGTTCAGGCTATGACTCGATATGGGTTGTAGTTGATCGTTTGACGAAGGTAGCTCATTTCATCCCAGTGAAGACCACTTACACCAGTGCTAAGTTGGCAAAGATATACATGACCAGGATCGTATGTCTACATGGAGTTCCAAGGAGCATTGTATCAGATAGAGGAACCCAGTTTACCTCAAAGTTCTGGAATCAGTTGCACAAAACTTTGGGTACCAGGCTAGAGTTTAGTACATCCTTTCATCCGCAGACAGATGGACAAACCGAGAGAGTCAATCAGATTCTGGAGGATATGCTAAGAGCTTGTGCGCTAGATTATGGATCTAGTTGGGACGACAATTTGCCATATGCAGAGTTCTCATACAACAACAGTTATCAATCCAGTTTGAAGATGGCCCCTTTTGAAGCTCTGTACGGGAGGAGGTGCAGGATACCGTTGTTGTGGGACGAAGTTGGAGACCGTCAGTTGTTTGGACCAGATTTGATTAAAGAGTCTGAACAGAAGGTGAAGTTGATTCGCAATAGGCTCAAGGTAGCCCAGTCCAGGCAGAAGAGCTACGCAGATTCTAAACGCAAGGAGACAGTCTACAAAGTCGGAGACAGAGTTTATCTTCGTGTATCTCCACTTCGAGGAGTTAAGCATTTTGGAGTTAAGGGAAAGTTAGCGCCATGTTTTGTGGGACCATATAAAGTTTTGGAGCGTATGGGAGAAGTTGCTTAGAAGTTGTAATTGCCCGAAGGATTGTCAAGAGTTCACGATGTGTTCCATGTTTCCCAGTTGAAGAAGTGCCACGCAGAGATGGCTGATATACCCCTGAGAGATACAGTGCCGCTGGAAGCGATTCAGTTGGATAGTGATTTGACCTACGAGGAGAAGCTAGTCAAGATTCTCGAATATGCCATCCGAGTCACATGCAGCAAGGTTATCAAGTTTTGCAAAGTTCAGTGGAGCCACCATACCGAGGATGAAGCCACCTGGGAGCGAGAGGAAGATCTACGGAAGGACCACCCTCACCTATTTTCTAGCCAACCCGAATCTCGAGGGCGAGATTCATCTTAATGGGGGTAGGTTTGTAACATCCCAAATTTTCAATTTGGAATGTTATACATAGATCGTCATTTGCATATCATATTTTATTGCATTTTGGCTTGATCCAAGAAATTCTACGCAACTCAAGGACCCACGGAGAGAGTTGGGGATTTCGTTATTTTCATATTTGAGTTTTCTCAAAATTTGAAAATAGGGTCATTTGATTTTATTTATTTTATCTTCAATTATTTCTATTATAAAAATATGAGAGAGGGAATAAAATGAATCTTCCAAAATAAAGAAATATTGAGGATTTAATAATAAAATCAAATATGATTTTATTTTGGAGTTTATCGCTATTTTATTTGAATTTAGGAAAAATGCGCGTTTTTCAAAATTACATTTAGGACCCAAATAAATGTTCATCTTGTCTGGCTTGATTTTAGAAGCCGGGAAAAATTTATTTCAGGATTTTGGAGTCCGTTTAGTATTTCTTTTAATTGATTTTCTGAGCGTAATTTTTTTTTAAAAAGTCAACCGACCTAGCCGGGTCATACCCGACCCGGACTCTAGCCCGGCCGGCCTTTATAAGCCGGGGGAGCCCAGCCCAAGCCGCCCAGCCCCGCCCTAACCCTAGCGCCGCCCCGCCGACGCCGCCCGCCGTCGCCGCCGCCCGCCGGTGCCGCCCCGCCGCCGG